CTTCCTGATGTGAAGTATAAGTTTCCTTTTTGTTTCCATTTTCTTTAGAACCTCGTCGTTACTCACATGTTCGGTCCGTGGGATCCTTGGCATCTTTCTGTACAACCACATTTCTGTTGCTTCAAATCTCTTTTTCATCTTTGAGGAGATTGTCCAGTATTTGCTGCCATACAGGAGTATAGATATCACGTAACAGTTTAGTACTCTTTTCTTTGTTTCTAACGCTGTTTTTCTGTCTCTTAATACTCTGCTTAGCTTTTGGAATGCATCTTTGACCATCCCAATGCGTCTTCAGATCTCGGTGTCGCACTTTCCGTCCTCTGACAGAACATTTCCAAGATATTTAAATTTTTGTACTTGTTTGCTTTTAGTATTTCCGATTTGTAATTTGTATTTTGAACTCCCCCTTTTGCTGACAAGTTCTTTTAGTTTATATTTAGTCCTTTCTTCTAGCTTTCCTTCGCTGTCTTCTGTAGCAATTCGTGTAGTTTCCTTTCCGTATCTGATATCAGCACCATGTCATATGCATATTTTATGTTGTTGCGGTTGTGGCTGCTAACACCAAATCCCGACAGGACATCTAATTCTCTCAGAAATGCCTCACTGTATAGGTTGACCAAATTCGTTAATATGACAAATCCTTGTTTACACGCCTTTGTATTTTATGCATCTGTTGAATTCATTTTCTATCCGTATGCAGGCGGTTTGCTGCCAATACACGTTCTTGGTTATTCTAATACTCTTCCCAAATATGTCATGGTTTCTGAGCAATTCCAACAGCTCTTTTTGTGGCGTACTATATCGAATGCCTTTGAGTAATCTATAATGCGTATACGTCCTTCTGCTTTTTGTATTTCTCTTTCTGATAACATTCTGAACATAAATACTGTCTTCCTTGTTCCGGTATCTTTCCCTGACCCACATCTTCTCCTATGTTTTCCTATCTCCGATCTTAATCCGAGTTTTGTTATATGGCTTATTAGATTGGAATTCACAATCGTCTGCGTCTGGTTTCTTAGGCAGTGCTATTAAAATAGATCTGCTTAGGTATTCCGATATATCACCACTGTTGTTTATTATTTCTGTGATTTTATTTATGCCGAAATCATCTAAATCTGCCAGCATTACAATTCCGGCTGGCACCTCCGTTTCAATTACAATAAACAATGGTACCTACTTAATTTATTTTATTAGTTTACATGTATTGCCTTCAGTCACCGACGAGGCCTTTAAATACGCCATTTACAGATTTTATTTTTGTTAAGCTACGTTACTACATACACTAAAATATACTACAATGTATGTGTGTGTGCGTGCGTGCGTGTTCGTGCGTACGATTCCATCGTTCTATGCAAATTACATTTTTTTCCAATTTTTATGCAACACGGGCCGTAAAGCATGTTTTAGCAAGGATGAAAAGTTAAAAATTGTTCAAATGCTTCACAAATGCTTTATAAAACATTAGAAATTGCCACATTCCTTGTACGAGATTAACATACGATCAAGGACTTTCGAAAAAAGACAAAAAAAAACTCACAATGAGAATAAACGGAAATCTTTGACTTCCACTAAAATAGTGGAAAGCCACTTTTAATTTGAAATGTGCAAACGCTCATTTAAGACTAATAAAAGTTTAGTCAAAGCTCAGAATGTCTAGGAATTTAGACTATACCAATTGTTCGCTCTCATTTGGAATCGAATCAAGCATGCCATCTGAGCCAAATTCTATATTAAACTGTTGTATCTTTTGGTGGGAGAAATGTTGAATGATTGAGTGATTTGATTTCCACGGCTTATCAACCTTTTGCGGGTTATTTAAAGGCAGAAAATAATTTGAGATTGTGATAATATTTTGGAGATAATAATGATTTGCTTATAAAAGTTCTACTAATTAAGAGAAGCAATAGATTCATACCTTTCGCAAGGGTATTCGCGCGTATTTGAGACTGGAACTGGAACACGGCTTCTCGATTTCCAATTCCGATCCGTTATTCATTACACCACCCGCACATCCAACGCCAAGTATTCCAAAGCGATCTATGTACTGGCCAGGCTTGACGTTGCTTAACTTCGGTGATCGTACAAGAACCGGCGTTTCACATAAAATGTTGAAATGCATTATAAACATCAGAAAAAAGTAATGGACATGCAGAATATAAGACAATTGTGTAAGGCTTTGGTTTTTGATCGCTTATACCATTTCATCTGTTCAAATTATAGACCTGTTTTAGGAATGATATCCAGGAGTAAGTGTGATACAACAGCAATGCGAAAAGAAAAGTCGTAACTTCACATTGGAGACAATTGTCTATACATCTATGCACTAAAGATAACAGAAGGAAGATGCACTTCATGATATCAAAGAGAAAGATAAAAAAAAATGGAAACTAAAGAATCGGTAATTCCAGTTCTAAAAAATGTACACAGCTCATCAAAGGCTAAAAAGAAATTCTCTTAGATGCATATACAGTTGCAAAGAGAAGTGTTTTTTTTTTCTTATTTTGTTGTTGTTTTTTTTTTGTTTGTTTTTGTTTTTTTAATAAAAGCCAGAAATACGGCGACACTCGAGGCAATAAACGAAAGTCGTTGGTAACATGAAAAAATGGTGTCTTTAAGCGGAAGAAAACAAAAAAAACTGATGTTATGAAACGACAACTAAATGTAAGCTAATAATGTCAGCTACTGGAATTCTTAGAATCGTTATCAACTATTGTTGGTCTATTTTGTCATTTCTTTATATCGAAGGAGAAGAAAAGTCAATATATTTTTACTAAGAAGCTTGAGACTGTCCCAAAATTTTAATACACAATGTTTTCAAAAAATGTTTTCAATGACTTGAACCAGAGACACAAAAATACATATGTAGAACTAATAACCTATAGGAATTTCAATACAAAAATATCGATTTGTAATTATCTATATTAAAATGAATAAAGGGTGTTCCAATTATCAATATTTTCTATTTAGACTTGAAAATATTTACTTGATTACTTTAAGTCTGTTTCAGACAAGAATGTGTGATCGTAATTTGTATTCTGATCTTCGATCTACGACAGCAAGTAGATTGCACAGATCGGATCATGTCCCTCTTACTTCAGAGAAACTTGCTTTAACTGCGCATCATAAACACAGAGAACAAGAGAAATAACATGAAAGAAAAACAAGAGTTGAATCTCGTCTATGATCTATTGTTTCCAACCAGCGATGAAATAAGTAATTAAATAAACACTAATATAATAATAGTAATAAAAGACAGGACCAATGTTTTCTAACTTGAAACTATCAAGTACATATACTGAAAAATTGTACTGACCCGAAAAGCATATTCTGTGATAAATATCCAGAAACAATTGACCATCTTGTATCAGATTGCATGATGTTAGCACCCACTGACTATAAAACTCAGCGTGATAGATTGGGTCAATATCTTCACTGGAAAATATGCCACTTTTACAGGAATGAAACTGTAAGAAACTGGTATGAACATCACCCAGAGCCGGTTGCAGAGATATGGCCAGTAACAATTTTATGTTGGGTCTTTACAAAACACACACAGACAGAACAATCAAAGTTAATCGGCCAGACATCGGCCAGACATCGTGATCATCGTAATCGGCCAGACATCGTGATCATCGTAATCGGCCAGACATCGTGATCATCGCAATCGGCCAGACATCGTGATCATCGCAATCGGCCAGACATCGTGATCATCGTAATCGGCCAGACATCGTGATCATCGCAATCGGCCAGACATCGTGATCGTAATCGGCCAGACATCGTGATCATCGTAATCGGCCAGACATCGTGATCATCGCAATCGGCCAGACATCAAAGATCAAAAACCATAAAAAGCAGAATGTGCTTTCTTATTGATATGGCTGTTCCTATAGATTGTAATGTACTTTTGAAGATCTCCAAAGAAAAATATAAAGTATCTTAAAATGGAAATCTCAAAAATGTTGCACATATGGACATCAATAATTACAATTCCTTCGAATTGATTGGAAAAGTTTACGGTAGATTCGTTGAAGGGATTCCTGGTAGCCCAAGTCTTAAAGAAATACAAAAAAAAAATGTACTCACAAGTACAGCTCACATATTACAAAAGGCCTTATCTATGTAAAATTAGCGTGATCTTAGGCATTTTTTTTTTTTACAAAAATGATCAGTATTCGACCTTATGTCTCTGGTTGCGACCCGAAAGGAAATGTGTATACAACGGAAATCAAAGGAAATAATAATAAGAAGAAGAAGAAGAATTTTTTTTCTCTTACTTTAGGCATCCCATATCTCTGTCGTTGCGTATATGTGTACATGTTTACTAACATCTGTGTCTCTCTCTCCCTTGTATATATATATATATATATATATATATAATTTACATGTGTATGTATCCGCATTGACAGGGATCATATTGTATTTTTTTTTCTTCATGGCTACAGGTGTAATTTTCCTACAATGCTCTGCCCTTTGACTATCATGTCTTTGAGTGAAAATTTAAAAATATATCTTTTAGCGGCTAGTAGGTTGAGAGATGACCGGAAAAGTATAACTTTTACAGCTCTGCTTCTACCCCTTTGTTTAATGAATTCTTTGATATCCCCCCCCCCTAACAATCTGTAGTATAAGTCCAGCCTACCCCATAAAATTTGATATGTATCTGTCGTTGGTGACGGAAAATTGAACATTTGTGGAAAGTCACTTTGGCCATGCTCCAAACTTGTAAGAAATGGTAAATGTAGTATTTTTGAATGATTCTTTTCGTGTAGTGTGCTATGATTGGAAATTCTTTTGACTCAAGTTAATTCTTTCCTTTTCAGTCCCCTTTTCTTTTTCCTTTTTTTTTTTAACTTATATTTCAATTCCACACCCCACGACCTTAAGCGGGCATCCGTGTCCATTTTTCACTTTTATTTATTGATTTATTTACTTTTATTTATTTATTTATTTTTTCTCTTACTTTAGGCATCCCATATCTCTGTCGTTGCGTATATGTGTACATGTTTACTAATATCTCTCTCTCTCTCTCTCTCTCTCTCTCTCTCTCCCTTGTGTGTATATATATATATATATATATATATATATATATATATATATATATATATACACGTATATAATTTACATGTGAATGTATCCGCATTGACAGGGATCATATTGTAGGTGTTTTTTTGTTTTTTCTTTTGTTTTTTTTTTTCAAGTCTATATACTAAAATCTATTTATCCCCCTTGGAGTGGTCATTTGGACTTATTCTAAGTTAAAACTTAGTATAGTCTACCCCACTGAATACCATACACTCTTATGAACTATTCTACCTTCGTTATATTAATAAATCCACAATCTCATTGTTTGGGCGTGCTCTTGGATCTTCTTCGAGACTCGCCCTATAGCTGGTAACTTGAACATAATTACCCCTTGGCGGTCAAGGTTAAAACGCATCTCTACAAATTTTAATGAATACGAATAATACTTCATACCGGATCGGCCGTCAACCGGGACAACAAGGGCCGCATCGCTCAGAGAGGAACCAGTCTGAGGACGAAAAGTCTGCCACTGGAACAAACTCTTCCACATGCGAAAAGACACTTGGTCACCAAACCCGGATTATTGCCAACCTTGGACCAAGTGACTCAATACCAAATCGACTAATAAAAAGTAAACGAACGAAATGGAGCCGCGAAGAGTATCGACAAGTCATGACATCCTTCTTCACTGCACTCGAAAACCCAGCAAAGAACATCACCAATCAAATATACCAAATATGGAGAAGTACGGTGGGAAATTATATAAGACCTAACCTCAATCCAAACATGCTTGCCAATGTCCGTAGGGACATCATGCGAAACAACAGACTCTCAAAGGCAGAAATAGATAAGATAAAATTAGATATAAGACAAAATACTCTGACCCATCACTCAAACTCTATTGAGACGAATGTAGAAATAAGGAATGCGACAGAGGATGAGTTGGACGCTAAAGCGAATGAAATACGAAATAATCTCCCAGGAAATGAAACCCAAGACTCTACCTTAAACACAACCTACAGTCCTCCAGAAAATGTACCTGGAGTCATCCTCAGTGACAATAAGTCAGAATTCCTTGAAAACCACGAAGCTGAAATCACCGAAGCGAAAAATGACGTCATCCAAGTACTCAGCAAAGTAACTTTCATACAATTGTCAGACAGAGACCAGCTCCCGAAAATCCATATGACGAATTCCAACAAGCACATCGTGAAAATATACAATGCTGCTCTGGAAACACTGTTAACAGATAAACCACCGGGAAACATCACAGAAGTTAACAACGTCATATACGCAACAGCTTTAGCAGCGACTCGGAAGCTTGGAGTCAAGACAATAAATAAAATTAACAGACACAGAGAACCAGCTTGGAAAACCAAACTGATTCGAGAAATAAAACAAATCAGATGTGAGCTTTCTATATTAGATGAGCTCATCAGAAACCCTAATATTTCTACACGTAAATTCAAAAAGATCAAGCGGAAATATAACATTAAATACCTAATTGATATTCCATCAATCAAGGAAATGCTGAAGCAGAAACTTCAGCTGGAGGCGCAGAGAACAAGACGATACGAAAAATGTAGGTTCTATCGCCAAAATAAAATATTCCGAACAGATCTTAAGAAATTTTACAGGGAAATTGGAAAAACACCTATACATGTCGAAAGGCCACCATCGATTGATAATGTACAGACATTCTGGGAAAATATCTGGAGCAGCCCAAAGGAATATAACCCAAATGCAGAATGGATACGACGTGAAGAAGAACGAATGCTGGATACACCTCTGCAAGAATGGGAAAATATATCCACAGATGATGTTAGGCAAGCTCTAACGAAATCCCCAAAATGGAAATCCCCAGGAAATGACAAGTTGCCCAATTTCTGGCTGTATCATCTCACATCTACCCATGAAATTCTTGCAAAAACATTATCAACGCTTGTAAATAATCCCAATAAAACCCCGGAATGGATTACTAAAGGTATTACACACCTCATACCAAAAACAACTGAAACAGACGACCCGAAAAATTATAGATCGATAACATGTCTCTCCACAACGTATAAGTTGATCACGTCTGTACTGACGAACCGTACTTATTCCTTTCTCGAAACAAACAGCATTCTCCCGCTGGAACAGAAGGGATGCAGAAGAGGTTCATATGGCTGCAAAGATCAACTTCTGATAAATAAAATGATCCTGGAAAATTGTAGGAGACGACGCAGGAATCTAAGTGCAGCGTGGATTGATTATCGTAAAGCCTTTGATAGTGTTCCACATTCTGGATCCTTAAGACTTTGAAATGTACAAAGTCTCCCTGTGGTATTAAATTTCCTTAGGCACAGCATGGGAATGTGGAACACCAAACTATACCTTAGTCACACCAGGGGCACTGCCATATCCAACCGTCTGAATATCCGACGTGGAATCTGTTTTGTTTATCCTTAATCCCTCTTACACATGAACTGAACAACAGTAGCTATGGTTACAAAATAAATAAGAAAATATTCAATCACCTACTCTACATGGATGATCTCAAACTCTTTGCCAACGACGACAATGAGTTGAAAGGCCTCCTCAATATTGTAAAATACTTCAGTGACGACATAGGTATGAACTTCGGATTAGATAAATGTGCAAAAGTAACTTTCAAGAAAGGTAAAATTACAGAAACACCCTTAATAGATTTAGATTTTGTCACAAAGATTAGGGAACTGGAGCATGGTGAAGCTTATAAGTACCTAGGAATTAGCGAAGGAGATGGCATACAACACCCCCAAATGAAGTAAAAAATAAGAAAAGAGTACTACAGGCGTGTACGTCTGGTACTAAATACTGAGCTAAACTCAAAAAACAGGATATCAGCCATAAACACAATGGCTGTCCCTGTGGTGCAATACAGATTTAATGTCCTTAACTGGACCATAGCTGAAATTAAGCGAATGGACGCCAAAACGAGAAAGCTTCTCACTTGCTATCGCATGCATCATCCCAAAGCTGATGTCGATCGTCTGTATGTGCCCAGATCCGAAGGAGGCAGAGGATTAGTTCAACTAGAACTGTCCTACAAAACTACAACAATTGACCTCCAAAGATATTTGGAAACAACAGAAAACTGGATGATGGTATGCGCCAAGGAACATGAAAATAGTAAGCGTCTTTACTCCGTAATGAAAGAAGCCAACAAATTCAAAATGGAGTTTCAAATAGGCGTAGAGATGCAACTACAGCACAATACACCGGCTGAAACTGCAAAATACCTAAAAAAGACAGCAAAGACGAATGCAACCGACCAGCTACAGAAGCGATGGCAAGATAAACCGCTTCATGGCCAATACTCTGCCCGTACCAAACAAGCTGACGTAGACAAAACCCGTACCCATCAGTGGCTACGTAGTGCAGGGTTGAAAGCGGAAACTGAAAATTTTATCCTTGCTGCGCAGGACCAATGCTTGCTAACTAGGAATTATCAAGCACATATACTAAAATATTGTGTCAGCCCAAAATGCAGATTCTGTGATAAATATCCAGAAACGATTGATCATCTTGTATCAGTTTGTACGGTGTTGGCACCCACTGAATATAAAACCCGACATGACAAAGTGGGCCAATATCTGCACTGGAAAATCTGCAACTTCTACGGGAAGGAAACTGAAAGAAACTGGTATGAACTGATAGGACCTGTTACAATTCTATGGGACTACACAATACACACTGACAGAACAATCAAGGCCAACCGGCCAGATATTGTTATTAAAGACCACAAACAAAAACGATGCCTCCTTATTGATATGGCAGTCCCCGCTGACTGCAATGTATCTTTGAAGATATTCAAAAAGTTGTCAAAGTACAAGGACCTTGAAATAGAAATCTCGAAAATGTGGCATATGGGAACATCAACAATCCCTGTTGTAGTTGGAGCCCTAGGACTGGTTGGAAAAGATTGCAGTAGACTAATTGAAGGGATTCCTAGAAGTCCATGCCTCAAGGAGATACAAAAAATTGTTCTGACAAGTACAGCCCACACCTTACGAAGGGCTTTATCTATGTAATTTAATTCTTTTTTTTTTTTTTTTTGTCAGTGGAAAGTGTCATGACGCCATTTCTAACCTAAGGTCCCTGGGCGGGACCTGGAAAGAAATGTGTAAACGCCAGAAATCAAAGAAAATAAAAATAATAATAATAATAATAAATTGCTCATAAATCGAGAAATCTACAGATTTATTTTATTATATCACAAGATAGATTTCTGAAATAGGGTATTTTGTATTCTTAATGACAGAAGCAGGTATCTTTTATGAAATGATTTCCCCTTCATATCTGAGATTACAGTTGGTTATTGTAAAAACAAAGAATTTCTCTCACACAGTATGAAATATCAGAGGAGATTTAACGATTTTTCATTCTTTTTTTCATTCTGTGTTAAGATGTGTGACTGTCGATCCTTGCTTTGTTCCCTTAAGCAAAATAGCAAAATTCATGTATACAGTGAAAAAAGAGAAATACTCTATAAAGAAAGACTTCAATAATTGTGAAAGAAAATGTTTTGTAAGCCTAGGCCAAATATTTCATGAACCAGAAACATTTCAAAATTGAAGATTAACTGCTTCAAGATTTGATTCTTAAAATCTGCTTCTGATATTTCATGTTGACTTGATTTCCAGCAGTTTTAGGTTTCTTTGGATTCGATGTCGTCAAATGCTAATATCTCCAATGACAGTTTGGTTCGATTTTGCTTTGCAAGAAAATGTAGCCGGCCGCATAACAAATACATTTCATTCTAGTAAAAATCCATATTATTTTGAAAACCTATTCTTGAGTCTATGAAGTCTATTAATGTTTGAAATCATGTGGATTTTCAACTCCTGTGAAAGTGCTTCGAAACAAGGATAGAAAAAAAGATTGAAGATCGTGAAGAAATAAGTAATAAGAAGAGCTTTGTGGTATTAGTCTCCTCGCAAGAGTAAATACGACACGAGGGTAATATCAATTTGGGACTCTATGTGTATATAGGGAGAAAATAAAATATTATGCTTTTGCCACGGACATCAGAGTAAACTTATCTCGTTAATTCAATGATTTGTTGCCACAGGAATCAGGTGCACCAGAAAACGCAAAAAGACTGAGCCGGGCAAGAAAACCAAAAACTGATGAATTATATATTATATTAATATAGTAAAGCAAGAGAAAGAGAGAAAAAATGTTCAATTAAGTTAAAAAAAACATTAAAATATACATTGATACTATAGTCTCTCTCTCTCTCTCTCTCTCTCTCTCTCTCTCTCTCTCTCTTTGTCGTCGTCTTTCATCCTCTTTTCTGTCACATGCCTTTTGCTGTCCACATATGTTGAGCACCTTTTACATCTCTTTGCTTTTCGTGCGCATGCGCCACTAACGTATGTTCATCTGTATGATTTATTACGGTTATCTCTAACACATAAATGAGAGTTTGCCTTTCTGTTGTCAGTTTATAGCAATAAACCATTCCATTCTTCGCAACATAAACTGTATTATTATTATTATTATTATTATATTTCACTAATTGATTTCTCACAATAAAAAGAAACATCTCTCAGTAAAACACCTGGATCGCTCTTGTTGACGACCAAGGAAAACACCTGCCGAATATGATACTCAAATTTGTTATATAGGCAAATTGTTTTTCTGATATGGTTTAACATCATCATGTGTAGTGTATAACATCAAACCAACAAGGATTGTATGTTTATTTCAAACACCATCAAAATGCTTTTGTCACTCATTAATTTCTCACATTACCATAAAACAAAGAATGTGCGCATCAGGTACAAAAATAAAGGCTTCACTATTCTGGTAAAACCTTCGTCATATTAGCAATGATGTCAAATAAGGAAATCTTTCGGGAAAATCAAAATTAAATTACAACACAACGGAACGTAAGGATTGAATTTTTTTTTTTTTTTTTTTTTGATTTTTTATAAATTACAATCCATTAGCAGGTCATCGACAAAGCAGGTCATCGGCAAAGACCTAGAGTAAATATATGCATTCTGCTTACACAAATTCGGATATTAAGTTATACATGTACGATGATTATATTTTCTTTAAATAGAGAATACTCTGAGTAGATGAGAAATTTCATACACGGCATTACTTGTAAAGCCACAAGCGGCATTGTTAATCTTCTTGTCTGTAACTTTTTATGTCGTGCCTACAGCTCCAATTTAGCTTTTTTTTTAATTTATTATATTATTATATTATATTTACTTATTTCGTCATATAACAGGTATATTTTTAATCTAATGTACTGCCCATGTATGTTGTATATGTACATATTACGCAGTCACTGTTTGCATAGTCAACTCCCTTTAACTCCAGAAACAATGTTTATATAATTAACTTCCTTCGGGTAAAAGGGCCCTACTGGGTGACACTTCCGGAAAAGGGAATAGAAAATAAAGATGTAGCTAGCAATACACAAGAATATTTGTTATCTATTCTACCATATATCTTAGTCTCTTTCTTACAGGTCCCACCTAGACTCCGGTAAGCCTTTTCTCCTCCTTGTCTGTCAAACTGTATAACAATGTCTATGAGAAGGTATTTTTTGTTAATAGTTTTTAATCCCTGTGTATGATTTAATATGCCTGTTAGTATAAATGGTAAATTCCCAAAGAATAGTGGCCTTCTATGATTGATTCAAGGTAAAGTTCTTACTATTTTTCAGCTTATTACGAATATTTTTGTTTCCAAAACTTTCAAAATATTCTTAACGACGTGAACGTTACTTCCCATTACCCACATTGAACATGCATACGCGTGCAAAAGCCATTGAGTGTGTAGAATTGGAGAAGAGAAACCAAGAAATAAAAAAAAAACATCGATGAATTTTTTAATCAAATCACATCAAAATAGATTTTTTTTTTAAATAAAGTCAAATATTTTAACATCACTGAGACAACTGATATAATCTCATAAGCTGAGAGTGGATTGTCATATTAATGATGATTAAGGATTTAATTTTGAAGCTCGTTCTTCTATATTTTATAAAAGCGTAAAATATTTATTGTTATCAAAAATATCAAACGTTCAGAATAATATCTGTCCGATTTTCTGGATTGAGGAGTTAATATTTACACTAATTACATTCGAAATATTGTCCTCATCTTTACTGCTATTATCACAACGTTTCGGACGTTTTGCCAAACGTGATAACAGTAGTAAAGATGTATATCGATCGGGGTAATTCCCTGCAGATTACGCGGATCGGTATACCCCTGATGAAGGGCGAAGAGAACAAAGACGGAAACGTTGTGATAACAGCAAAGATGAGGAAAATATTCCGAATGTAAATAGTTAATAATAACTTATCGAAAACCGATTTAATGTTTCACGAGATTTCGTTTGTCAGGGTCCAGTCTATAATTTAGAGTAATTATAAATAATATATTAAATAATACTAAATAATAAAATTATAATTGTAATTAAAATATAATAAGATAATTAAATAACATTAAATAATAAAAGACTGAAATATAATAATTTGCAATTGTTGTTGAAAAATATCATTATTTATTTTAATAATTTCTGCTTGTTATCAGATTTTCGTTTGTTTGTTTTTTTGTTTTTTTCTTTTTGTTAATTAGAACTGATGTTAAACTGACTTCATTTTATTTAGTTAAACTGCTATTTGTCTGTTCGGCGGGCAAATTTTTGAGTAATTATTGACGCGTCCCATTTCAATAACAATGCAAAAATGTCTTAATTCTTTATCTTTCTATTTTGTAGTTTTCATAACCAGTTCAAAACGGCGTTCTTTACTGGTCTTCCCCGGCTCGGCCATGGTGGATCAGTCCACCAGCCGATTGCGAAAATGGAGAGTCAATCGTCACGGGAGGATCAAGATGATGATGATGATTTCATCTCGTCGCCTGTACAGTCGCCGAATCCAGCACTGATTGCACATCGACGGGGCAGTCTACAAATTTCGTTGCAGGAGCAGGACTCGGCTGACTATCGGGTTGTTATAATGGGGGCCGCACGAGTGGGTAAGACGTGCATTGTGTCCCAATTCTTGCATGACAAGTATCTAACCGATTACCACGAAACAATCGAAGAGCTACACCGTGGGGAGTTTGTTATGGACGGCACCCGAGTTATCTTAGACATTCTCGATACTTCCGGTGCTTTCCAGTTTCCGGCCATGCGCAAACTAGCGATCGCCACGAGCGACGCCTTTGTGTTGGTGTTCTCAGTTGAAAGTGAAGACTCTTTCAAGGAGATGAAAAGAGTGAGAGATATTATCCTGGAGGAAAGAGAAACGTGGGATGTACCGATTGTCATTGTAGGAAATAAGTGCGACGTTGAAGAGAAAAGTCGTATAATTGAAAAAGAAACAGCCGAAGCTTTAGTCGCGGTAGAATGGGGCCATGGCTACGTGGAAACCTCAGCCAAAGAGAAGATTAACATTGAAGATATATTCAAAGAATTGGTGTGCCAGGCGAAGGTTCAACAGTACCGACGAATGCCGTCGTACAGGAGAGGCCGGAAATCAATGCCGGAAATATCATTAATGAACACCATCACTAAAAGAAAAAAACGACACAGCTGTAATATATCATGAGGCCAACATTAACAAAAAGGAATTTGACAAAGAACTGAGAACGCAATCTTCAGAAGTTACAAATCCAATTGTTTCGATGATAAATTATTGACGTTCTCTATGCATGTTCAGGACTACGAAATTAAGCCAAAACGAAAATTCTGTAAATGAAAAAAAGAAAAAAAAAAGAAGATTTTTTAATCTTAAAGACAAAACAAAAAAAAACAGCAATAATAAAAAGATTTTGTTCCTTAAAGCAACATGAAACACACGTATACACACATACACACGTGTATATATATATATATATATATATATATATATATATATATATACATATATATATGCATACATACATATATATATACACACACAGACATATACATACATACATATAGACACATACATATACACATATATATACACATATATATATATATATATATATATACATATATACACATGTACATATATATATATATATATATATATATATATATATATATATATATACAAAAACACACACACACACACACACTATACATATATATATATATATATATATATATATATATATATATGTGTGTGTGTGTGTGTGTGTGTGTGATGACGTGCTGATAAGTTTGCGGCATGACTATGAATCCAAAATCTTTCTGAGATTTGGTTTTGTTTGGTCATTGGTCAGTATTTGCGAAGTAGGTCAAGCCGAGAACTTTCCAGTATCCTTTCATATGATTCAAATATCAGAATATATGCATCTATACATACGTGCACGTGTACTAATATGGAAATGCATATTAGAGAAACATAATTATAAGCTCATTTCATTAAATTCCATGAATTAAATGTATGCATGTATGTATGTATATGTATATGTATATATTCCCAAACAACAAACGAAGAAATTACCACATACAAATAGATATACACTCGTTAATACACTCGTCAACTTCACGATTATTATTATTATTATTATTATTATTATTATTTATATTTGCTTTTTTGATACAAACACTTACCAACTTTTTCGCCTAAGCTTTAGGATAAATGAAGATTTTTTTCGAAGGAAGTTATTAAGCATAATGTATTCAAAAAGTTTATCTAAACTTGTGAGGTCTCATAACACAATCTTTTATATTTCCTATAAAGATGGATGTCCTGGCATTTTCTTAATGTGTCTATCAGTATTCTTCTTAATCATTCCTAGTACTCCTACTAGTACTGGAATAATGGTTGTGTTTAAATGCCACATTCTTGCAATTTCTATCTTCAAATCCTTATATTTGAAGAGTTTATCCAATTCTTTGCTGAAATGTTTGTATCAGATAGTATTATTATTATTATTATTATTATCTTTTAACTAGTTAACCAAATCTTTGAATTTTAGGAATAGTTAAATTTTTGTTTAACAGAAAGATTACTTTTAAAATCATTGTTGTATATTCCATCCATGAAAATATAAAAAAAATCTCCTATTGTGTCAATGGGAAAATCGCAACACTTAAATTCTATATGTCGAAAAAAAAATGCGTAAATGAATTACAATTCTAAAAATAGAAAAATGCAGAATAGCAGAATAATTCTAAAAAAAAATAATAATAATTTGAAAAATCAATAAAAAGTTGACATTTGAATTTATAAATTGATAGGCGTACGTACTATAAATATACTTTGTACTATTTCATTATTTTATAGACCTTTAGAATATGCTCCGGTGAAATAAAATAATATCAAGCACACACATACACATACACGCACACGCACACGCACACACACACACATATGTATATGTGTGTGTGTGTGTGTATTCGTTACTATTTTGAATGTTATCTATATATTTATTTAATTCTCTTATGAAAGGGAAATGTCTGCTTTCGGTAAATTTTGTCCTTCATTGCTGTGACGCGGATCAATAGATGGGGATGCATTTTATTTTACGGTTAAATATAAAACTAAATTCTGTTAAGTAATATTTAGAAACTAGATTTAGAAATCAGATGACATATATGTTTGTGTATGTTCAATTGTTGTTTTAGTTACATTTCTTTTCAATCCAAATCCTTCAACAATTTCTAATTCATAATTTCACTAAATATAAGTGATAATAAAAAATCTGTTCGATATTTTACTAAGAATATTGCTGTGCAAAAGATAATATATAGATCCCATGAAAATACTGATCGTTTAGTCTCATGTTAATGAAGAAGTAAATAATTTTAAAGCGCAAAAACTTATTGGCTTTTCCTAATATTTCTGGGATGTTCTGCTTAAAGAATAAAGCGTATGTTCAGTCATTTCAGACAAGAAAAGATGTACATTAAAAAATTATAGCAATTGAAAAATTTCAGTTTATATTTGAATAAACAAAAATTAACACATTTTGAGGAGAAAAGCGAAAGATATTGCTTCCCTTCCTTGTGCGAAGATAGATAGAGAGAGAGAGAGAGAGAGAGAAACAGAGAGAAAAAGAAAGAGAGAGAGAGAAATTAACCAAATTAAATAGATTTAATGAGAGTTATATTGTATAAATATTGCAGGGAAAATTAAAAATGAATGAAATTCCCCTTAATTGTTTTCTACTATATTTGCTGAATCTACCATTCTAACTGTAGAAAAAAAATTCTATTTGCCGCGCCGGAGAAATGTGTTTTGTATAGACATATTGTAGTGAATTAAAGTTGTGATTTCGGACTTTCATCTGGTCTAATCACAAATTCTGTTGCTGTATTAATGTTCTTTTGGAATAATAGTGTCCGGCGTGCATAGTAGGATAGGAAAAAAGAAGTTTTTCAATGTTTTTTCCTTACTAGCTCTTGTTTGGAAAGTATGTGTAAATGTGAGTTTGTATATATGTACAATCTTGTTTATGTTAGCAGGAGTTAAAAAAATAAATCACGTCGGGAAGTCACCAATCTGTAGAGGACCGTGTGGATTTACGTGTTGTTAAATTAGGAACACGTGCTGTTTATTCCTACTAGAAGGAGGTCCAACTACAAGAACATCGCGGACTCAAGTTGAGTCCAACCGAAGAGGTAAAGAAAACAAACAAGACCGATATATATATATCAACAAATATATGTATTAAACAAAAAATTTATAAGTGACAAAGACATCAACATTTGTGTTTGTGTGTGAACGTAAAGAGTTTGTATTTTGGTGAAAGTTCGTACCTGCGTGTATGTGTGTTTCATGGCGTTTTCCCACAAGTGGTTGAAAACGCGGATCTCTGCGAGAGATCACATTTTTAAATGTGTCCGCAAAGTGAAAAAGAGAACGAGGCAAGAAGTCGCCCAATATTTATAGTGTAGGGAGAACGCCCCCTAGTGAACCATTAGGAAATTAAGGAGGAGCTAACTCCGACATAACCATTATATTAACTAAACCTTGTTTTTAAAAGACTCAGCCCGAAAATGGGCTTTTAATCAAATGTGGAGATTTTATTTATAATTTATTTTAAATTGAAAACCATGAAGTCTTTCAAGAACGGGAAGAATATAAGCATATATTCTATAATACATGCTGATCAAAGTCGATCAAATAATACTAATCTTCATTTTGATATGTTATATAAATCAACATTCTGAACTCCAGATGATTTGAAACTTGTCTAAAGACCTCTTTTGTTTACTTTATTCAGTCAATTTAAACCTATTTGTTAATTTCAATTCTTTCTCTGCTCATTATTTTTGCTTCCAACAGAAAATCAATTTGCGAAACCATTTCTCTCAATGAAAGAAAAGACATCCGATAGCGATACGAAGACACCATTTCAGATTTGAATCGCTTCGTTCTGCATGTAAACAGAATTTCTTAATTTATCTAAACTAAAAAAAAGGTTCGATTTTCGTTCATAAATAGTTTTCTAAACTCTTGAATTGTTGTTGTGGGGGGGGGTCTCAAAAAGGTAATTTTTACTCAAACAACACAAGATAAAATGATTTCTTTTTCACCATTTACTGTTTTATGGATTCAAACTAAAACAAATCTTTTGTGTGCGCTTGCGTATTAGTAGTAATAGTAGTAGTCGTAGTATTCAAAGCGTTTATAAGCTTCTTTTTGCATTTTACAATGTGAAATTGTTTAAATGGATAGGATGTTAGAAAGTGGCACTAATGAATAACTTTGAAATTACAATAAACTTACATTTGTTTTGCATTTGAAAAATGCATCAACTCAAAAATGAAAATGCAGAAGTCAACTTTTCTTAATTAGAACCGCGTTTCCGGTGAAAAAATTTTAGCAGTTTGCCTATTTCTTGTGTGATAAAGATTTCAAATAGTTTTCTTTGTAAAACAATTTGCATTTGGTTTTCAATTGTAAGTTTGATTCAGCGCAACGGGAAAAAAAGAAAGATTACACTTTGTAATTAAGTTTGTTTTTCATAAGATAATGTTGATAATAGCCATCTTGTAATAAATAAAACGTTTCAGTCCAGTAGCATTTACCAATTTTATTTCTTACATACTTTTTCTTTATAAATAATAATTGTAAACGTTGCCTATTAAACACTATTGGTAAAATAGCAGTATCATAAGATATCTTACAGAATCCGATATTAATATTCGTAAGTTTTATGTCTGATTATATTTCATTCAGTATTTTTAGGTTTAATCAGTGGAAATATGACTATTGAAACGTGAAACAGGAAACGTGTTTAACTTGAACTGAGTTGCCTCCCCCTGATCCGAATCACCTCACTTGATGTGACTAAAAAAAAAAGAAATACGTGAAAAGCTTTAATGAATCATGAATGCTCGCTACTGAGATGAAAGTTGTTATACGAAGCGGAATTCTTTCGGGTTTATTGATCAATGTCTACTCAATAACACTCAAATCTTGAGAAGTATAGCATTAAAAAAATTAATGAATTGTTTTAGTACTTAACGAGACTGAACATCGAGTTTCTGTCATTGGTAAACAAAAAAAAGGTAAAAAAATTTTAAAAAAGTAAAGCAACACACACACAAACCAAAATTATTCGCTGATTTTCATGAGATTTTCTCTTTTCTGCTTTTAGATTT